CCCGGGGGTGGATTCGGGATAAGATCTGGGGAGGGTGGGCAGGGAGGGTGTTGTCTCTCTGTGCTCCTGGCGAGGCTGCTGAACAGCTGAGGGGGCGGGGTCTGAGCCAACCAGTTTTATGTTGGAGATGAGGATAATTACGCCAGATCATGTCCTGCCTTTGGTAAAGCCCCGCTTTTCCGATTTTCTACTCAGCCAAATTCAGTCCCGGAGCAGCAGGTCCTGGTCTCAGAGTGGCTGCCTGCTCTGCTGCACCTCCCACACCTAACAGCCATGCCACCTTGGGCACGTCATGTTGCTTCATGCAGGTCTGCGTTGCGTGTGGGAGGAGCTGCTGTGGAGGGCACAGGCCTCGGGACAGGCTGGCCTGGCACCACCAGGGACCAGTGGTAGGCGATCAGTGTGGGCATGAGCTTCCCCCCCGCCCCCCACACACACCACGGCCCGGAGACCAGCCTACTGTCCCCAGGGCCAGGCAGGCCTCTGTGAAGGAGCCGCAGCGCCAGATGCAGAGCTGACACTTCCCTCCACTGAGAGCGGGAGCAGCAGCCCCTTCCACAGCTCCACCCACCGCGCTGGCCTGGCTTCCTGCATCCTATGTGGGAGGAGGACACTGTGTGTCCTGAAATCTCATCGTTGGTCCCTGCCCTGGGCCCTCTGCTCACCTGGCAGGGCCTCCACATGGCTGAGTTGTACTGAGGGTCAAACCCCCAGTCAGAAAGCCAAGTAGAGCTGGAATAAACCTTTGCAAATAAAACTCCTAATCAAATCATTCATAGTTACACTGTATTTCCTTGGCTCTAACAGTTTACCCACTGATGACAATGGTTATCCTCCTCCTCGGGGTCCTCACGGACCCCCCTCTGCCCAGGGACGCTGTTTCCCTCTATTGCACAGAAGACTGTTCCCTGTGCTCCTTCCTTCATTCATGTGCCGAGACCCACTTCCGGGGGACAGAGACGATCTGAGGGCGCACCTGATTAAACTACCTGTTGTTTTAAACCCATTTTCACAGAGACTTTTAACGGCTCAACTCATTACAGTTATATCTGTGTCAGTGGTTTCTGCTGTGCTGTTGCGTTTGTGTAGGGTGTGTGTGCACTCTAACACAGTGATCCCTTGTGAGGATCTGTGTGTCTTCAACAATGTGAAACCATTGCAGCTTCAAAACACAAGGCTGGGCAGTTAAGCAAATCACACGCACAGCTGTGTAACACACCAAATATACAAATTACATTAAAATGAACAAGTACAAAGAAACAGTATCAACCAAAGGCTCTCCCCGAGTGCCAGCCTCTGCAGGCTGAGGGCCGGCAGGTCTCTCCCAGGGCATTTTCCTAACGTTGTTGCATCAGCAGCACCAGGGGAACAGGCCTGAGGCCGACACGCCATTCTCAACCACCACTGTCGGCAGAGCCTCCGTTAATCTGTGAGCTCCTTGCCCCACTTTACCTAAAGAATAATGCCTCTCCCGGAATTTCACAGAAATCAATGGCGGAGTTAATTGGAATCTGGGTCCCTGAATGTTTTCTCTGTACTGAGTGATTGCTTGGCTTCTGAGAGTGGGTCTGACTCAAAGGCCGGCTTTAAGAGAGCGAGCATGGTGAGAGAGAGAACGTAGAGGTAGGTAATTCCCCAGACACTGAGAGGTGCTGTTGACATTTAGGATTATTTCCTTTGAAGTCCTACTTGGGGGCTAAGGCATGAGAGGAATGACCGGGCATCTCCAAAGCCCAGGCCCTGCTCTGCGTTCCAGGACAGGGCGGGCAGGCCTTTCCTCCCGGCCAGAGAGCCAGAGGGAGAGGCGTGGGAGGCCTCACTGACCCCTGGGAGTGGTTTTTATTTTAATGCCTCCCCGTTTCTGATGACCAAGGTATTCCTATCCTAGGACCTTGGGCTTGTCATTGGCTTCTTAGCAGCAATACTTTTATATTCAAGCATTTTACAACCTGCACAGTGAACTCGGCTTCCCTGGGTTCTCACCGCAGGTGGCTGGGGCAAATGGGACGGACCTTCTCATCTTCACTTTGTAGGAGAAGAAGCGGAGGCTCGAGTGGGCTGGGACTTCCCCAGGTCATCCACGCAGGATGGTGTGGGTGCGCCCAGGTTCCGGCTTCAGGGGAAGAGAGAGCGGGTCGAGGGCCAGGCACTTCCTTGATGGAGCTCCTGATGGTGGGCTGGGCCGGCTCACCCCAGCCAGGGGGACCCGCGAGGCACTTCAGCACCCTCGGCGGTGCCCACCCACCCCCGGAAGCTGCTATTCCGAATGCTGGTCCGACTCTCACAGCTGGAGCTTCCCGGCCTCCGAGACCGCGGACTCCAGAGGCATCTGGTCACGCTTTGCGAGGGAGGAAACGCAGCCGCTGGCTCCCCAGCCCGCAGTCAGGGGCCTGATTATCCTCCTCCCGATCTGGCTTCCAGGGCTCCAAGTGGGATCCGTTTTCTAATTAGTTAATGTCATTACCTGTCATCAAATCCAGACCATGCTGGTTTCCAAAACCCGCCGCGGCCAAGAAACCCACCGCTGACATCTCTCCACGCTCAGCAGAGTTTCTTTGGTAAGCCTGGCCACTCTCCCCTCATTGCTAGACCGCACGTCTTGTATTTTTAAAGCCAATTTAAAATTCTTCGGTCTGCTTGCTAAAACCTTTATTCATATCCAGCAAAGCATAATTTTTTCAGCAAATCTTACGCCCACCTTACTCTCCTTATGACGTTGTTAGGTTTTGTTTTGGGCAGAGTGGCCAAGATAGGAACGGCTTACCTTCGCAGGTACCGCTGCGGACTGTGCTCACCGCCTGTGACCTGCTGCTCGCCCTGCTCTCTCCTTGTTAAGTACGGGGCCAGTGGCTCTCTCCTTTCTCCTCTCCCGCCTTGGCACAGATGCGCTCTGAGTGCCCGTGGCCGGCAGTGCTGTGGCCCAGCGGGGACCAGGCCAGCCGACGCCGGCTCCCCCACTGGCTTCTGTGCTAGGGGGCGGGGGGCCGGTGGGCAGAGCGTGGAGGGGTCACGTGTACAGCGTGTGGGCTGCATTTGCCCAGGACCGCTCTCCTCCTGCACCTGCAGTGCCCAGCCCCGGGGAGGGAGTCAGTGCAGGTGGCATCAAGGTCTCCTTTGCCCTCGGGTCTGGCAGGGCAGGAGCCAGAAATTGAGGCACCGGGAGGTGAGCTCCTGCCCCTCCTGAGGACCCGAGGGTGACACAGCTGCTTTTCTGTCTGTGGGAACCACCCTTCCCTGGCCGCTTCGAGCCAGGGTGGTGATGCTCACTGGGCTCCTTCACCCCGAGGACACTCTGCAGATGGCCCAGGCCCTGTGCAGCCTCCCTGGTCGGTCCCCACGTGAGCGTGAGCGGCCGTCCGTTTCCCAGCGGGACAGGCTGGAGCAGTGCGTGGCGAGGGTGCCGCTGGGTCCAGGCCCCCTGTCACCGCCCTGCTGTCACTGACGGCTTGGAACAAATGCCAGCAGCGTCGGGCTGCACTGCTCCCCATTCAGGCACTTCTCGCCAGGCCACGCAGCTCGTCACCATCGCCCGCCCCTGTGCGTGTGCGTGTATGTATACGTGTGCTTGTACATGTGTGCGCGTGTGTATGGGTTCGTGTGTGGATGTGTGTGCGTGTGAGTGACAAACATCTGCCCCTTCGTAGACCAGCTCAGAAAGCTGCCCACGCCTCAGGAAGACGCCCTGGCCCCCAGTGTGGTCCTCGGGAGCTCCCACCCAGCCCTGGCTCTGTGCTGGGACCCCCATGAGAAAGTCCTGCTCAGGAATCATCTCGAAGCCTTCTCTGGTTTCGTCCATTTGAAGAAGAGGATCTTAATTTCTTTCTGAAGGATATAGTGTCAACTGAAAAATTTTTCTTAGTTATGAAACGAGGCATATGGACACAGGGAACCTGAAATCCAGAAGTTAAAACACCCGCCTAACTCTCCTACCTCCGCCTGCGGACACGAGTGCATCCAGGAGCTTCCATGGGGGAGCGCCTGCGCTTCGCCTGCCCCTCCGTCCGTGGCTGCCCGTGTGCACCTGCCCTGGCCACGGGCCCCAGGCCACGCCGAGCCCTCCGGCCGGCAGCTCATCGCTGAGGTCGCGAGTGGACCTGGCTCCGTGGCCGCAGCTCCTCCTCACTGTCGGGAGCGCGCCCATCGCCCATCACCTCCTCTGGGAGCCCGCGCGCCCTGGGCCGGGAGGCTCACTCCCCGGCCCCTGGAGACAGCGCTGTGCGTCCTGCCACGTGAGGTTCCCTGTGCACAAAGCCCTTGAAATGCCGGCTCCCCAGTCCCCGTGCTGACAGGAGTGAAGGGAAAGGGCAGCGTCTCAGCTTCGTCGCCTGCGGGTGCTTGCTGGGTGGCCCTCCTCCGAACCGGCGGAGGGGACGTGGACTCAGCCACGCCCGGGCTGCGGGCACAGGGGCCACGCGTGGACGCGCTCCGGGGCCAGCGTTTACGCGCAGCAGAGGAGCTGAGCACAGCACCGTGCACTGGAAACGCACTCGGGAGGCAGTCACGGTGAGGTGGTTAGAGCCTCGGTTCCCAGCAGCCTTTGGGAGAGAAAACAGCCGGCCCAGAGGGGTCCCCAGGAAACCGGCCGGAGGAGCGGGCGGCATGAAGGAGCTATTTAGCTTTTCTTGGAAAACGGCACGATTCTCGGAGGACCGGGAGGCTACGCATTCCCCGGATTTTTGTCAGGCGCATGTGCCAGCCCACAAAGTGCTGGAACCCCACACGCGGAGCCTGGATGGGTTTCAGCTTCAGTCATTCAGGTGTTTGTGGCATAGAATAAACACCACCCAGAAGGCAGCATCCTGAGTTACCAGAAGTTCCGTGTGTAATGTAATTTTAGGCAACATTCTCAGCTTCCTCTGCTCAGGGACAGTAAGTTAGTCATTCCGTCCACATAGCAGAGTGGGTTTTTTTTTTTTTTTTTTTTTTTTTTTTTTTACTATTTAAAAAAGAAATTCTGAGTCAATCAATGTTTGGGATTAATCTGCCCAATTTATTTCCAGGGTCCTGACCTCCACCCGACAGCTCCGTGGCTCCCGTGGAGTGGATGCCCGCTGTCCCCGGAGCTGGATGTCAGGGGCTGCAGCACGGCGTGGGACGGCCACTCGGGAGCTCGCAGCCTGGCCGAGGCGCCTGGACAAGGGCCTGGGCGCAGTCCCTGCAGCTGCCGCCCCGGCTTGTGCTGAGGACACCAGGAGGCCTGCCTGTCTGGCTCCTCGCTTCAGGTCAGAGCGGCGGGTACTCTGCTCAGTGCTTCCTGCATGTCCTTCGTGCACAGCGAGTGAAGAGCGGAAGGGGAAAGTCTAGATGTAAAAACAAAAATGCATTTGGATGTTTCTGGGCTCCAAATCCAGCAGGAAGGATTGGACTGGGCTGGTGGCGTTGGTGCCCAGATGGGGCGCTGCCTGCCCCGAGGCCCTGCTGCCCCCGCCGGTGCCCACAGGCTGCAGGGCCATGGGGAGCCTGGGCCAGAGGTCTTTGTCTTCCTCTGGGATGGAGCCTGCACAAGGCTGCGCCCCCAGATGGGCCTAGGAAACGTCCTCCTGAGAGAGACGTCTGGAAACTGTGGCGAGCCACCAGCTTCCCCAAAGCCACCTCCACTTTCTCCTTCGACACGAAGCCAACAAGCTAGAGACCCCACTTCCGAACGGAGGCTGAGTTACTGCCTCCGAAATGGGAGTAGAAGTCATGTGTGCAACTGCTACTTCCTGTTTTAGCTGGAAATCGCTCTGCCTGGACGTCCTGTGGTCTGGGACAGGATGGGCTGGTGACGCCATTGAACCAGGCAGCGGAGCGGGCAGCAGCCCTGGAGGCAGGTCAGGCCTCTTCTTCTCGGAGAAGCAGGCCGCCCGCAGCGTCCCGAGCAGGGGAGGCAGCCCAGCCCTGTGAGCCCCGCCTTGTGGGACCTGTTTGATTGAAGAGCAGAGGTTTTCACCTCGAAACATAGTGACCACGCCTGGGCGGGGATGTACAGCACCGGCTGCAAGCCAGTAGCTCGCATTTCTTCATTCTGCCTGCTGTCCTTCCTCCCACACGTGCTCATGGAGCATCAGCGCTGTCTGAGCGACACGTCAGCTGCCGGTGATGGGAAGCCTCAGAGCCGAGGCCCTGTCCTCTGAGGCTCGCATCCTCTAGGGCAGCAGACAAAACAAGCAGGTGGGCTACTTTCTGGAGAAAGAATGGGACCAGGTAACAGTTTCTCTCCGCCGGCTACAGGAGTCCTAGCAGGGGAGGCTGGGAAAATGTACAAAAAAAAATCACAGCAGAATTTCTTTAACCACATGGTATTTGAATTCAATGAAAAGTAGTAAGTCTCAGTGGTTTAAGAGTCAGGGGGATGGTCCTAGGCTTACGCTGTCCATTTCCACACGCTGGAACGCTGGGTAGGAGGTGAGTGGAGCCGGTGTGGGTGTGGGTGTGGGTGTGGGTGAGCTGTGGAAAGGAGTCTTCCTGAACTACAAGGCACCTCCCTTCTGTGGGCTGTGGGCCATCGGCCCTGTGGCCCTGGGAATTTCTACCTCTGGGTTAGAGATAGTAAAGCAGAATGGAAATATTTTTACTCAAAACTTCCCAGACCATTAAAGCTACCTATTTTCTGAAGCAAGTGAGATTCATATTTAAGAACTGCGGTTTCCTTCCATATTAATTTTTCTAAGTGAGATTTTGGATCTTACAAAGCAATATCCTGATTCCTTTTGAAATAGCTGTTAACAAGCAAGTTGTTTCTAGAAGGAAACGACACGGTTTTCAGACTGAGATGTCAATGCAGTGATGACTGGGTTTCCGCTCTGAGGGTCCCTTCCCCTCAGTTCAGTGAGATGTCTGCCACGTCACTCCGGGAAAGCTTAGGTGGACAGTGTGTGGACTCGTACACAGATAATGCACATTTCCGAGGATTTTAACTCTGTTCTCAGAAGTAGGACATTTTATTTCCCTCTCTATTTTTTTGACAGAGAAGAAGAGATGGCGGGGTTTGAAACAGTCCATGCCAAGGACATTGTCAGACTCCTCTTTGTTGGCTGGGTTTCCTGCATATCTAAGAAATCTAACAAGGGCCCAAGTTGGAGCTTTTGCACATCAGGAAATGGTTAGTGTGCCCCAGTCTCGCCTTACAGACCTGCCGAGGACGGAAACCTTCCTTTCTCTTCCCTCCCCCGCCCCTCCTCCCATCCATCTCCACCAGAAGGGTCTCTGGCCCAGAGGGTTCCCTGGGAATCAGGCCATGCTTGGCTGCCCCTGGAGAAAGGCCGCCCCTCAGCGCAGCTGCTCCCTTCGCCAGGAGCCGGCTCTCCCGGGGCGGGAGGAGGCGGGAGGGAAGTGCGGGGTCAGCGTGGCTGGGTTTCCTGTGGCCAGGGGTCCGCGTGTTCTTTCTTCCTCTGCCCCACAGGGCCGGGAAGGGGCCCGGGCAGCCCCATCAAAGGGCCTGGCCTGGAGCCAAAGCCTGACTTCTCCCTGTGCGGCTGGGCCAGGAGCTGCCGGTTCCCAGGGCTCCATTTCTGCCTGCTGAAACCGATAGGGAAGGTTAATGAGATTAACATGGCCCGGCACTGCGGGCTGCCGAGGAGGAGAAGCCCTGGATGAGCTGGCCGCTGTGGAGATGCCGGCCAGGCCACGGCGGCTGGGAGACGCCATTGTTGTCAGTGAACCGTTCGGAATGGCACCGGGCAAACTCACCAGTGCTGCCCCTTCAACGCTGCTGAGGCCGAGAACCAATGAATGGATGTCCTATTAAGTTTGCTCCCAATTTTTCACCAGTTTGGTCCAGTACTTCCTGCCTTTCCAAATATATAGTGGTTGACATTTCCTGGGGTAGGAAAAAAAAAAGTCTAGTTTATGATAAAATGTGGTAAAATTAAAAGAAAATAGTCAAGTACAAAAACTACACCCTGCATCAAGCTTAAAGATGAAATATCTCTTTGGATGGAGATTTCCTGAATAAAATATTGCTTAGAAAAGTGGAGGGGATGGCAATGTTGGTGCGTGTGTGTGTGTGTGTGTGTGTGTGTATTTAAAAATGCGATGTAAGCCCAAAGAGGAAGAAATTTGAGTAGATCTATAAAAGCACCACAATTTATGAGAGTTTGGAAGCCAGCTTCTTTTTAAGGGGCAGGTTCCTAATTTCCCACATGCAAGCATGGGAATTGAATAGTAAATCCTCCTCTCGCAGACAAGCCCCTGAAAAGAGGATGAAAAAGAGTTACTGTTCCGTTTCCATTCATGTCCCTGAAAGCCGTGGCTGTGCGCGGCCTGAACACACAGCCCGGTTTCAAAGCTGCCGGATGACTCCTCAGAAATGATCTATTGTGGCGCTTTGTTTGGTCCGGGTCGCCCTTGTTTTGTTCTGGGGGCCGCCTCGCTCCTCCGCCATGGCCATCAATCCCCCGTCACTCCCGTCACTCCCCCATTCAGAGGCCTGGGGCCGGGGCTGGCAGGAGCTCACCTGGCCTGGCCGGCCTGGCAGGCAGGGGGCGGGAGGGCGCTCCTGCTGGGAGCTGAGTTGGAAGGAGCTTTTCTCACACTGAGAGGCTGGCTGAGCAGCTGGATGGAGGACCTGGGCTGCCAGCTCCTGTCGCCTGCCAACGAGCAGCCTTATTTTCGGTTGTGATTGGACTCACTCACTTGGGTCCGGTATCTAGGCTCCTTATGGGTTAAGGGTTGTCGGACTGGGATTAGATGGCAAAGGATACCAATTGTAAAAATGAAAATGAAATCTGAAATCTCTCATTTGGTTAGTAACTGACATTTGATTTCCACCTTGTGTTCCGTCCAGGAAGTCTCCTTATATTCTGTTAGGTTTTAAATGGAACGACGCTCCCTTCCCTTTCCTCTGTCCAGGCATCGCTCGCTGTTAACAGTGCCAGGGGACGGCCCCCAAGGGCTCCTGTGACAGAGGGGTACAGGGGGGCAGCAAACATGTCCCAAACAGCAGCAGCCTGCCACTCCTGCCGGCTGTCCCACTGCACAGGTGGGGTGCGGGCTCTGCTGGCACCACAGTCAGGGTGCAGGCCACCTGCAGGCACCTCTCAGGGGAGGTGCTGGCTGCTGCGATGATTCTCCTGAAGACCAGTCAGCCCAAGGGCTGTACTTGCCTCCGGCGCCCATTGAGAGGAGACGCGGCCGTCTGCCAGGACATGTCCTATCCTGCCATGCCCTCAGGGAGAAGCTGAGGCTCTACACGCATGTGCACACACACTCACATGTGCAACACCACACATACACATGCACTCACATAGGCACACCACACTCTCACACATACACCACACACATGCGCACACACAGAACATACCTATACACACACTCACCTGGGTATGCACATGCATGCACACACATGCAGGGCAGCAAAACATTTTCACAATTTAACTGAATCATAAAAGGGATGAAATGTTTCCGGAACACATTGTGGTTAGTTCCAGCCTCCACTGTCGTTGGAGCTGTGTGACTGCAGGCAAATTAGCTGACTTCTCAGCTTCTGTTTTGTCATGATGACGTGAATCGCTGGGGCGAGGTCCGTGCTCCTCAGAACCGGCCGGGCTTCAGATCACTGAGTGGACTTTACCAGCGTTAATTGCAGGCCTTCGCCCCCCGAGATGCAGCAGGTGCGGGGTCAGGCCCACAACTTTCATTTCTGATGAGTTCCCAGGTGATGCTGCTGCCGGTCCTGGGATGACATTTGCGATGGTCTTCAGATGAACTTTGGGGCCTGATGCAGCCAGCAAAGCCAGTCCTTCTGGCAGGGGACGAGGTGGAATTAGTTAGTGAGCTGACTAAGCTATAGTGAAGTTTTCATGTTCAAATTTGACTGGAAAATGGCTCACCAGAGTGTCACCAACCCTTCACTTTTTTTGACAGCATATTTGCATGTTGGGTTGACACATAGAGTTTAAAGACACATCTCAATTACCAGATATGGTCCAGATAGCTGCCCTTGTGGGGACAGAGGCAGCCGCTAAACTCCGAGCAATTACTTGAAATTAGCCTTGTCAGATTTGTTTAGGGTGACCAGGCAAGTACACACAGTGAGCTAGTGTCACTTCCTGGGAAGATTTGTAATGATTTTGCATATCAGACAAACTATGCAAATACTAAAGCTGCCTTCATGCCTTCATCACCATTCTAGTCAGATGTCATTTCTAGAAGCCCTCGGGGAATTTGCATCCCTTAATTATTCTTCAATACCCAAACTAAGCATCTTTAATTGGTGTAAATTGAACAGCATTGCAATGCAAACAAGGAGAGGGCTCACTGATCAATGACTCTGTGCATGTCTATTGGAAAGTCTTTGCTATCAGATCAACTAACAAATCCTCACCTCTGGTTGCTTCCTTGGAAAAGCCAGCTCTTGGAAACTCCAAACCTGTGTCTTCCCTCCCCTCCTCCACCCCTCACCCCCGTCATCACATTTTGGAAGTGTGGACTAGGTTCGTAAGCTGTGATTCCAAAATATCAACCTTTAGGGAAAGGATTAAAAATCATCCTAAGGTATAGAAATGCTGAATCACTTATATTCTACACCCGAAACTACTCTAGTAAATGTAATATTGCATACCAACTATAATTAAATACAAATTTAAAAATCCAGTCATAAAGATACTCAGTTCCAATGCCAAAACGACTTCTAGGAGCTCTTTTTGAGAACTGAACTAGATATATACATGTCTAATCACTACATCGTACGCTTGAAACTAACATGATATTGTACGTCATCTGTAATTGAAAAATTAAAAGAAAATAACAGAGAGAGAACTCAGCTGGAGACAGTGTTTCTATTCTCTGAAGAATCGGAGTCTATCTCTCAATTTCTTAATTAGAAACAATATAAAATTTTGGTTAATTTGTGAGCCATTCTTCCTCATGGTTTTTTGTTTTGTTTCTGATAGTATATGATCCACCTAATCATATATCCAACCTGTGGTCATGTAACATGAGGTGGTGTTCCTTCTCTTTTAGTGTGACTGAAAAACTCTGCTTATGGTCCTTCCAGTAAGTGTGTCACACTCACTTCCCCTCTTGTCCTATCAACTCCTTCACGATGACTATTCATTCCCGGGGTGGGAAGAAAGGAAGCACAGGCCCATCATACACCCAGACCTGACAGTCTCGGGCTCCCTGGGCTCAGCAACCTATGTTCTGATGCTCTGTGTGTAGGAACCATGCCTGTTCACTTTTAATCTGTCTGATTTTTGACAAAATTGGCTGGTTATTGGAGGAAAACATTCAAGTTGATTTGCGTTTAGAGCAGTCCAGGGCAGAACACTTAGAGGGAGTGGCGAGGAGGAGTGAGGGAGCTGCCAGCTTTCTGGACAACCTTTGTTCACTGGTTTGGGCTTAAAGGGGGCCTTTGGTGGGAAAGCTCGTTTGGCTAGCCTGTCTCCACACACACAGGTGTGTGTGTGTGTGTGTGTGTGTGTGAGATTTACACACATCCTATAGAATGCATTGCTTAGTTTTAATGATCCGGCCAAGGGTTTTGAGGACCTTGGGGTAAACTTTATGGAGATTTTGGGGACATCTTGGGCTCCGGGGTCACTTGTGGATGGATGCAGAAAGAACTGCATCCGGTGTCATATCCAGCTGGATGGATGCAGACAGAGCTGACAGCCCATGGCCATCTTCATGTACCACCTCGGTGAGTCTCACAAACCGGAATATCACCCTGAAAATAAAAGCACATTGATGCTGGGAAGTTAAAGCCAATCGGTATTTCTCTGTATGGATCACCTTTGAGAGTCCATGAAAAGGAGCAGACTGGAGAATGGGTGCAGAAGTGCTCTGCCCTCCCTGTTTGGGAGGGACCCTCCGAACCTGCAGTGGGGTGGCTCCATCGTCTGTCTCATCTGTCACCTTTGCTTTCACGATCACCTCACCCAGCCTTCCTCAGCCTGCGGTGGGCACTCTGAACCTGAGAGTCATTTCTTGCTTCTGATTTTTGCTTTTCCTTTAGAAATCATGTTACCTCTCTGGACTTCATTTTCCGCATCCGCCAAGGGAAGCAGTGGGATTTGGTGAACTCTCAGATCCCTGTGAGACCTCCCAGGTGACGAGCTATTTTCTCCAAAGCCAACTCGCATGAAAGCCAAGGGAACGGAGCCCACATTCTATTTCTTTGGAGCCCACAGTCTGATTCATAGGAAGGGCATCTAAGTCAGCACTTCCCAGACTTTAATGTGCATCCAGGCTGCCTGGAAGATTCTGGAACTGTGACAATGAAGGTTCTGGCTCAGTAGGTCTGAGTGGGGGCTCACACTCTGCTTTTCTGACAGCTCTCAGGTGATGCAGCATGACCGTGAGTGACAAGACCTCAGAGCCTGGGGAATGAGGCCCGGGTGGGTGTGCTTTGTTCCGAGAGGGAGCCCTGGCTCAGGGCGCACACCCACAGCTTCTGTTGCTTTTGAGCAGAGGAGCACAGAGGGGAGGGCAGTGAGAGGGAGGGTCAGCTGTGGGCTCCTGGTCCTCGGGTCGTAGCCCATCCTCAGCATCTCCCATTGACTTCTGATGGGATGGGGAGGCTGCACACAACACAGGGCCTCAGGCCTCACTGGGCCTTCTGGTCTGAGAGCTCAGGGGAGGAGCCGGTGAGGGTGCAGGAGGCTGCCCCCTTAGTCCTGGCTCTTGACCTTTTGCCGGGGCCACAGCTCTCAAGCACATATTCTTACACACTTTTGGTTTCTCTTTGATGTCTGTTTCAACCACTGCAAATTACTTAGTGGCACTGAAGGGTGCCACACAGCATGACTATGGCCTTAAAAATCAGCATTTTATGGAAGGTGCACTGGTCTGGGTGACTCTATGGGGGTCACTCTGGCTGGACCACTGACTGGGGCCCTGAAGGCACCATCAGATGCTCTCACTCTTCGCAAGGATGGTTTTCCCACCTGGCTGTGTGCAGAGACCACGCCCTGCAGGCCTGTGGGGTTGCAGCAGGTGGGCGGCAGGGGAGTTTGTGTTTTGCTGCTCC